GCTGGGAAACCAGAGTGGGGAAGAACAAACATGGCTGGTTTTAAGGATCCACAGCCATGATTTTCGTGCTTAGGTCGTGTTTTCTGGTTGAACAACGCCTCAGCATCAGAAGAGCTTGTTGCGTGGTTGTGCAAAAGCAGCACAAACCCCTGACGCTGCTGCTTTGCATGCTGTGGTCATGGATGATTAGCAACATCTGATTTGGCCTAGAGCCTTGGCCTCTGGTGTCGCAATTGTTGATCATGGAACCCGACAAAAGGGGGCTGAAGGGCACTTAGCACCTTCCCTGCAGAGGAGCGGAAATGGAGCTAGAGAAGCTGAGTGACTTGTCCAAGGCCACAGAGCTCAGCCCGAGCCAGGACTGCATTCCTGACATGGACACAAAGTACTTTGCATGGCAGAGCAGTGGCTTTTCCCAGAACAGTGGCCCTGCTGTCACACACTCTGGACAGCTAAGCATGAGCCAGGCTCTAAAATGAGCTACAGGTCTCACTTTTTCTCCTGTTTGTTGGAAGGCCAAGGGGAGAGGAAAGTAAGCTCCTGGTGACAGGGAGAAAAGAGGAACAGGGACAATGAAGTGGTCTTCTGACTCTAGTCTAGACCCCCTCCTAGATTGCACCCCTCTTCCAGGGTGGTTGATTCCACTGATTCTCAAAACTCTGTATATAGACTTCCCATCCCAGGAAGCCATTGCTGACCAACCAGTCGCCTACCTACCAGCAGTAGATAAAGCCCATCTTTTCTTGGCTCCCACATCTTTTCTGGCTACTTCTGGGCAGTTTCTCTGTAGTCAGACTGATAACCATCAGTCTGAAGGCCAAAGACTCTGCATCAATGCATTGTGTGCCCTTGGTACTTAGAAAACTTCCAGGCACATGGTAGGCACAAGAAGGAAGATGGTGGGATTTTGGAACCTTCTTCCTAACTATAGGGTCCTGGGCAACTCTGTACGGCCTTCTGATTGGAGGTTGTTAGTAACTCCACATACCCCGTTGGGTTCTGAGTGCAGAGGCCGTTCTGGTTAAGGAGGGCTTCCCATGCTCTCCTGACTCCTACCAACAGATCAAAGTCGTGATTACAAGGAAAGGTCACCAGGCAGCCCCTGTGGGCTGTTACTGCTATAAACCCCAGCAGGAGTGACTTTAACATCTGTTCTGACCATTCCCCTGTGACCCTGACTTTCCACAGTCCATGATGATTTTTGTCATTTTTGAGTCTTGTGTAGGGGCTGCTCTTACTTGGGAACAAGAAATTTCAATAGAAAGTATCCTGGTCTCAGGTTTACCAACATATCTGCTCCTCTCGCTGCTCACCATCATGGTCTGCAGGAAAGTGCTCGGGTGGGACATAAAGCACTCATGGGCTTTGCAGAGGCAGCTCCTGTCTGCTACCACTGCAAGGAAGGGATCCTGAGCAGAAGTTGGTGGCTATGAATTTCATGTCAGGAACATCTCCATGTATTTCTGATATCTCAGAGGGAATAGCTGTTGAGATCTAATGTCTCTTGAGGGACAGGCCCTCCCCATCCATGGTACCTAAATGGATGGAGATAGGAGAGTAGATATGAAACAGGAAAGAAGGATTTTTTTCCCCCATCTCTTCACCAAAGCAAGGCATACTAGTTCCAGAAATGTGCTTCAAACTTATTTAATGCAGCAAATCTGTTTTCAAAGCTACAATGCCCTGGGTGTTGGGAGTACAAATAAGATGTGGTTCTAACTTCTATGTAGTTCATGGTTCTTATGTGATCTATTTGCCTAAAATAAGTCCAAAGTGAATACTATTAAGAGCTGTGTGCAAAGTGCTAAGGAAGAAAGAGCCTAAGTTTTGACTGAATGGAAAAAGCAGAGTCTTGAACGGTTGAAGGATCTAAGACCCTCTCAGTCTGTGGAGGGACTGGAGTTCCTACAATGCATATGTTGGCTTGCTCCTTTCTCTTCTCTCTCAATAATAGCATCTTGGTTTTCTATTAAGGAAATTGTTTCTTTTCCCATCTCTGTCCACATGGGCTTTTGCGCCTTCCTTTCCATCTCTCTTGTCCCTCAGATCCAGTAATAACTGTATCAGTATAGACAACCCCCTGACTTCTTCAGTGATGGAGTCATGAATACATTGATGTCATGAAATTCAACAACGGCAATTTTGCAAAGATTCTTAGAAAAGTGAAGATATTTGTTGGTTATTGCTGCTAAATCAGTGAGATGAAAATCTGAAACTTTTGATTGTAAACCTGACATCACAGAAAGTGAAAGGAAATTCACGAAGATTTTTTTGAGTGCCTGAATTGAGCAGTGCCTGAAGCCTACATTTTTACATTACTTGAACCAACACATTTCTTTTACAATTAAACCATTTTAAAATATTTTTTGTTAGTTGCAGATAGACACAATACCTTTATTTTATTTGTTTATTTTTATGTGGTACTGAGGATCAAACCCAGTGCCTCACGCATGTTAGGCAAGCGCTCTACCACTGAGCCACAATTAAAACATTTTGATTTAGGGATCTGTCACTCACATAAAAAAGAATACCAACCAAGGCAACCTGCTCTAATTCAAAGGTATACTAGTACCAGAAATGTGCTTTAAACTTATTTAATGCAGCAAATCTATTTTTATCACAGAAACATTAATAGCAAGACTCTTTGGCTGGGAAGATATTGGCAAAAAAGTGTGGCATCTCAAGTAGCATTGTTTTGTGGTCTACAAGAAACAGAGAAGACCCCCTTTATCTTCCCTGCCCTTAGTTCTCTTTGTTCTTCATCAATAATTTTGTTTTTTCTTATGGTTCAAGGAAAACTTGTGGAAAGATGGTTGTCTTTGGCAAGGATCCCCAGGCGCACACCCTGCAAAGGGAAATATATGTGCTGAGTTTGGGGGAGAGAGCTTAGATATGAGAAGCAGGACAACAAATGTGTGTCCTGTGGCACAGCTGAAACAGGGGCCGTGCAGAGCCACACGGGGTGACTGTGGCCAGTGCGGCCCCTGAGAGCTGTCACTGCCTGAAGCATGGGGTCTGAGTCTTTGTCTGCCTGTCCCTTCAACTAAGCAATGGATGTACCCTGTCTGTCCTCTGGATGGAGGCAGATCTGGCCTGGCTGTGGCATCTGGAATCCATTTTTCCAGTAGGAGGAACATGCCAATTCCCAGTCAGTGGCGAGGACTGTAGGGATATGTCTGCAAATTCCGCATCAGGCCCTGGGCAAAAACATTGTTTACAAATGTGACTCCTTTCATCTCCCCAGCTGTCCTGGGAGGTTGGTGTCAGAATAGGAAACACACTTAGATGGGATTTAGGTGCCTTGCCCAAGTCACAGCTGGACAGGGAGTAGAGGCAAGCAAGGGGTGTCCTTTCTGAACTCAGAGCTTTGCCTTTCTGCCTTCCTGTATGTGATGATGACAGGCCTGCAGGGTGTGGAGGAATGCCATCAAGGGCTGCCACACATTATGCACCAGGGATGGTGACCAGAGGCTTTAGTGACATGGCAACCCTTCCTAGGTCTGGGAGGGTGTCAAGGCACAATTGCTCCACTGTGCCTGTTGGAAGGTGTCTTGAGATGGTGATGCCCATGGTGTTAGTTTTCTGCTGAGAGATATGAAGAGAGGCTGAGATGCTAAACAAATATCAATGAGGCTCCTCCGGGAGTCCTATTAACACAGAGCACCTGAGCATGGTGGTGTTATTCTCCATCCAGTACAGTGTCCAGTGCCCTACTTCCACTGGCAGGACACAAGGGGCTCCTGGTTTGCTTTGAGCTCATCCCTAGGGTTCTCCTTTGCAGAGTTGCCAAGTAGAGGAGTTACCAGTCAACAGGCCCTCGGAGGCACTGTGGTCCCAGGGATATGGGCTCAGTTTCCTTCAGCTTCCTAGGTTTGCTTCATTCTCCTCCCTGTCTCCCTGGAAGACATCAGCAAAGACCCTGGCAGTGCACACAACTCTGCTTGCCCTTGGAACATGTATGGACATAGTCCTTATAGTAGGGAACAAGCTACTTTATATCAGGTCTGGCCCCAGGATGCCTTGAGTGACTTGTGGCCAAAGCATGAGGTTTCTAAATAACCATGCTGTGACAACCAGGTGTTCTTGTGAGAGCTGTAAAAACTGAGCAGGAAGAAAGCACACACACGGGCGTGGAAAGGCCAGTGACCACACATGCTTTGAAGGACCTTTTAAGGTAGTGATGGGCACAGCAGCCCAAGGACATGCCAGCCCAGTATCAAATACCCACGAGAATTCTGTCATCATAATGCACAGATTGTGTCCTAATTTCACTATGACCACAAGCCAGCCCCTTGGCAGGTAAACAGCATGAAGCAAATGAAGACAGCCACCAGAGAGGGCCAGTGGCTCAGCTATGCTGGAGCAGACACAGGTTCTCTGTCTCCCGAGTCTGTTTTTACCTAGTGTTCCCTCAACCCAGCCTGCTCTCAGGGTCAAATCCAAGCTCAGGACCTTTCCTCCTTCTGATTCCCACCACCTCCCACCTCTGGTACACCTGTCAGTCACCATTACATCCCCACATCCAAAATCATGATGATTTTTCAGGCCTCAGGCCGTGTGCTGCCATCCTGTGCCTGGACTGGATGTCCCTTTTCACTCTGCTGATTAATACTCTCTCTTCCTTCTTAATGACCCAGCCCATGTCACCTCCTTGTAAATTCTTCTCTAACATCCCAGCTGAATGCACTTTTCCCTCCCTGGAAGGCAAACAGCATTTCTGTGTTAATTCTATGTCAGGACATTTCACACTGTGTTACTCAGATGACTATAACAGCTTCTGGACACTGCACCAAATCCTCCCCTCATTCCTGGTAATGGGGTTGAAACAAGCCCCCATGAGCACAGGAAGTCATAAATAAATGAGAAAAAAAGTATCCAGACAGGATAGGGATACTTTGGATCCCAGAAACCATTTGTAAGGTTTGCTAGGGGCAGTGTCCATAGTAACTGCAGAATTAATGGTCTCCATGGAAACTTTCAGCAACACTGAGTAACTGGCTTGAATTCCTGGAGGGAAGAAGATGTCTGCTTTCATTTGGCAAAAATGGAGGCAGGTTCTGTGACTGTGTCTCAAAGTGGTGACAGGGGAGTGTCTGTCCGCATGGATACTACAGGAAGATGGTACTAGGCAATCTTGGCTGTCCCTCCCATGATCTGGAGACAGTTGGAGGGAGCTTTGTGATTTCCTTGGGGCTCAGAAGTCAGCAACTTCATGGCCCACACCCTCATCTGGTGGCTTCATGGAGAGTTACAGAGTTACAATCCCATCCTTTTTCTGGTCTATAAAGATTCGTGTGTCCTGACCTAAGTTACTGGATCTATGAGCGAAGACAAAAATATGGGGTGATGTGATTACCAGTATACAGAGAGCCAGAAAGAGCTCTGCGGACAGTTTAAAAAGGGAACCAGAGCTGAAGCTAGTCACTGGCCCCTGAGGTTGGCTCTACTCACAGCACTACTCCCAGGCAACAGAACAAGAGTTTGTGCTTAGTGGCTCCAGGACAGCACTTTAACCACTCTGATATTTATATTTTCCTTTTCCTTATATAAAAAAAAGGAGTACTATTTCACCTAATAATTATACAAATCCCTGCTCTTGTTCATGCCAGGATTGTGAAAGGAGATAATCCATGTGAAATAGGATGCTTTCATAAAAAAGGAAGAGCTCAGCAAATTCTGTAAAGGTGAGTCATTCATAATAATTAATGGTAAGGCCATTTGGAATTGCATGCAAGGTTTGTCCTAAATATTAAGTTCTAGAACTCTCCTTTCATAAAACTTCAAAGCAGATGGTAACACAATCTTTTTTTTTATATATAAGCAAGAGAATAACAAAAAATGATGGAGAAAGCATGGCTGCCCATTCATTTATGAGTGGCCAGGAGAAACCTGCAGGCATCAGGTGTCTTCAGACATAAATGTAAACCGCTCCTGTGCTTATCCTGTTTAGTAAATTCGATTTTGAAGTAGATTTGATTCAGATGGTGGTCGTTGATCTGCTCGTCTGATTTAGGTTGTGTGCTTTCCTGTGGTATAAGTGGAGGAGCTGTTAGAAAATAAACTACTCAGTGATGGCCTGTTAAAGTTCAGCAACAATTCTTCAGGGCCATTGGGATAGGTGTTGAGGCATCTACAATGAGGTCTTGCACTGAAGAAGAGAAACTGGGCTTAATTCTAAATGTACCATGGGCCTTGGGATTTGTGAACAAGGAGCAGAGTGGGGCTCGGTGGAGAGAAAATGAGTCATAGGGGCTCAGGGAGGATTAGATGAACTCCAGATAGGGCAAAGACGAGGGAAGGGAAGGGAGGGGTCATGGGGGTAGGAAAAAGATGTTGGAATAAGATGGACATCATTACCCTAAGTACATGTACAAAGACACGAATGGTGTGACTCTACTTTGTATATGACCAAAGAAATGAAAAATTGTGCTCTGTATGTGTACTGTGAATTGTAATGCATTCTGCTGTCATAGATAACAAATTAGAATTTTTTTAAAAAAGAAAATGACTCATAGAAGGTAACAGTGGTAAGGGGATTCTGGGTAAACTGACCTACCAGGTATCTTGCTGAAGAAATGCCAGAGTGACCAGACATCACCTAGGAGATGGCAAGGGACAAGGAACATGTTCAGATCTTGAGGGAGAGGGTTTCTTGATAAATCTTGATTGTACAACAAGTTCATAGATGGGCCAATGTCAGAACCTGCCATCTTGTGGATGCCCTGAGCATGCCAGAGTTCAGCCAGGTTATGAGCAGCCCCTTGTAATCTAGTTGTAAGGGCAACTGCTGTAAGTGTAGGACTATTAAATAGATTTCAGCATGACATTTTTTTTCCTAATTCTAGAACTCTTCAGTCACCTTTGTTTATAGACAGAGACCCTGCAAAATGTTCTTGCCTAGTGTCCCACACACTCAAAGCTTCTCTGTCTGGCTTCTTGAGTGAGCTTCTCAGACTGACCATCCATGGTTCAGTTGTATGGTGTCAGTTCAAATTCCACCTTGATGTGTACTGAGGGAAGGAAAGATCACCCTTATTTCTGAGTTTCCCAATATAAGTTCTTAAATACCCTTCCAGAGACACAGATATCCCAATATTTGTCAATCAGGACTACAATTTTGGGGGACAATTTTTTTTGTTCCATTTTTTTTTCCAGCTTTTGTTCTGGATAAAAGGCAAAGTCTAACATTCTCCAGTGATTTATTTGGCCTTAAAACTATTCTAATTTATATAAAACTTGCTATCTTTGGCTTGCAAAGATATGCTGGCATCATTTTAATATCTATGTCTTGGTACATCAGTTGAGAAAAGTGTGGCTACAAATAATAAATCTTTTAGACATTCATTTTAATCTTTTTTTTTATTCTAAAAAAAAATTGAGCACTTCTATATTCCTAACTCTGTCTTAGATGTTGGGACTTCAGCAAATACCCAAACTAGCAAAAGCTCTTAAACTACTCATTTACAAGTAGATTTTATGAAACAGAGGAGAGACAGATCACAGATAAAATATGCAGCATATCAGAGGAAAAAAAAAAACCAAAGCAGAGAAAGTAGCCTGGGAGTGTTCAGAGTAGGGTTTGCTATTTTAGAAAGCATGGTCAAAGAAGGCCTCCTTGAGAAATAGACACTAAATAAAGACCCAGAGGTGAAGGATGGAGTCACATAAGCACCAGAACACCATCTGGTTTTCCAGCGGCTCACATTATAATGCTTGTTTTGTGGCCAACATCACTCTTGGTAAATGAGATCCACAGACACATGGAGCTAGAGCTAGAGCCCCCTCTTCTCTTGCTGCAAACCCAAAAGACCACAGCTTGCCCTTGGGTGATAATCCTGTGATGGTATCAGCATGGCTGATCAGTAACCATGAATGGTGATGATCAGGAAATATCTTTTAAGTGCTCCAAGCTACAAGAGGCTTTCAGGGCAGGGGGAAAGTGTTCCTATAGCATGAACTCAAAAAATTTCAACGACTAAATTTACAGTTTCTTTCATTACCAAACAATACAAGTTACAAAAGTTTCATTTTCTTTCCTAATGTTATTCTAGTCCTCAAAGACCCAAGAGGATTGGCTGGGTTCAGAGGTGAGCTGAGGGTTGGGCATGTCTCTGATGAGGCTGAGTACTGGGATGGGCAACTGCATGGGCAGCATCAAGTCTCTTATACTTAGGGATGGCCTGCTCCAGGTATGCATTCAGGATGAAGACAAGAGCCTAACCCAGGTCTCTGGAGATATCATTTGTATGATTGCATGTAGAACAGCAGGACATCAGGCATGAAGCAAGATTTCCAGACTGCTCACTTTCTCTGTTAAGTTTTCTCTTCATTTGTTTCATTGATCAAAACAACTTCACCATACATTCTGCAGATTTGGCAAAAAGTTAGTTGGGAATTGTTTACTGATGCAAAGATCTATTAAAAAATGAAGAATTTGACTTTTAAAATGTCACCGTAGAAATGCTGGTCATGGTAGAGGCTTCAACACTATACTGTGCCTCCTGTGTTCAGGGGCAGCTGTGGGGATGGCTTCCTTGACTGGTGTCAGGTTCACACTTAAAGGCATGACTTTGCACTTGGGCTCACTCTGCTGCCCTGACTCAGCCTGCACACCAGGCTTATAGAAAAGCTGGCAGCCATCCAGCAGTGAACACACCATATTAGCATCAACATTCTGCCTCCCATCTCTCTGAAGGGTCATTGTGAATCATATTCTACAGATTTCTCAGATAGGACCAAGCTGAATTGAGACCCACTTGTCCACAGAGATAAGCAGTGGTTGATTTACCCTTGTTTGACTTTTTCACATTCTTTGCTTCCTCCCCATCTCTGGCCTCTTTTTCCTGGGATCATGCCTCAAATGCATTACCTATAGCCAAATACTCATCTCAGGATCTGTTTTCAGAGGGATGCAAACAAGGATAGTGACCACATCTATATTATAAGAATGCTCTCTGAAGAAACAAATGTTACAATATTCACACAAGAAAGCTAAGTTCTACTAACATTATTGAGAAATAATAGGCGATAGAGGCATGTAGGGAAAATCTGGGGACTTCTGATAGCATCCAGATATATTTCATGATTTTCAAATGTCTACTATAGATGTAAAAAAAACTTAATAAAGATAAAAATAACAACTTGAATGCTATAGCACAAAAATTTATTATTTGCCAGAACCAAGCATGATGTATCCTAAAAATAAAAGGTTAAAATTAACAAATGTAAGAAATAGAATGTAAGTAAAGAAAAAATAGTAATTTAATAAAAATCAACATCTGTTTTCTCATTATTAAAAATTTCCAGAAAATAAGAAGAAGTATTTTATTCTGTTGGCCAGGAACTCTAGTAAAATTATACTCTTATAAATAATTTACTATGTAGTTCTTAAAACAAAAATTAAGAAGGATACCAGGATAGATTTCTATTGGCTTTATGATTTTATAATGTCTTGAAATAAATTAAATTAAAAAAATGGGCCTGGGGATGTGGCTCAAGCAGTAGCACACTCGCCTGGCATGCACTGGGTGCTGGGTTCGATCCTCAGCACCACATAAAAATAAAGATGTTGTGTCCACTGAAAACTAAAAAAAAAAAAAAAAGAAAATTAAAAAATTCTCTCTCTCTCTCTCTCTCTCTCTCTCTCTCTCTCTCTGTTAAAAAAATAATAATGATAAGAAATAATTTTGGAAAAGAAAAGATTTTTAGTTTAATGATGTCATGAAGCTAAACTTGGGATTATTATAAGTCTGATAATAAGTTTAATAAAATAGCCCAAATATAAGCAGTAATTAAATAGAAAATGGAGATAAAAATTCCTAAATCTCTAATGAAAAGTCTGGGGAAGCATGTACAGAATCTAAATGATAAAAACTAAAAAGGCATTTCTGCAGAGATGGAAAAGAGGGCTGGGATAAATGCAGAATTACCAATGACATGAATATTATGATAATGGTGGTTCTTTCCAATTCAATTCCCATTTTCATGTAATCCCCATGAAAACATTGATGGAAAACTTTTTGGAGAGAGAAATCCATATAAAGGACTCATGTCTATGATATAGAGCTACAAATGAGAAGGATCAACACTCAGAGAGTCTATACTGTGAAGGCTGAGTATGGTCTCTCTGGGAATAGAGGGGCTTGAGAAACCTCAGCAAGAGCAGCTGTGTGTCCATCAGGGAAGACAGCTGGAGAGCAAAGATGTTGAGACGATGGTGTGAGTCCAGCATCTTGGAATAATAATCAATCATTAAAAGAAGGGGAAATTCTTAAGATGGAAGAAAGGAAAATGAGACTAGATGCAGGGCTTAGAGTGAGAATGTTGCAAAAGTTCATGTCTGACAGTTGAATTTACTCTTTTACTTTATGCATGTTATATGTGAGTGTATCTTTGAAAAAAATCTAGAAAATATAGACAGAAATAAAGGTTCCTTTCTGACCATATTTTCATGCTAACATTCTGCCCAGAGATAGTCAATGCTTTTAATCTGATATATAGCTCTTACTTTTAACCTGTAGACTAACAAAAATATACATTTTGTGCTGTTTTCCTTTTAAACATATTTACCTAATGAGATAATAATGTGTCTACTCTTCTGTAATTTTTGTTTGTCTTCTTACAAAATGTATTAGGTGTCATTCATTCATACGAGCACATTTAGAACCACCTCTTTACTTACCTG